TGAGTTTTATTTGAGTTTGATGCATACAAATACTGTACTGTATATGATGATTGTTGAAAATGTACTTTTACCATAGAAAGCCAGCTCGACCATTCAAAAAAAAACAAAACTATGTGGTCAGTCAAAAAAAAAAGAAGTGTTTGTGCTTATTTGTGTCCCATTTGATAAGAAAATGCAAAAAAAATTTTTTTCCATAGCTTCTTTCTTGGTCCGGCAGTTAAAGGGTTAAAATCCAACTGACTCTTGAGTTTCAATGCTTTTATTTTTAAATGACCTTCAAAGACTTTCCTCAGATGTCTGCTTTTTATATCACCAGAGGTACGGACTCTTAGAGAGAACTTGGAAAATTGCTTCTATGTCAATATTAAAATAAGGGCTTGGGGAAAATAAACTTTAGATTTGAACAGTTCAATGTCAACTGGCTTAATGGCACTTCCTGGTGAAGGTCAATGCAGCTACTAAGATGTCAACCGGTTTTTTTTTTTTTTAAAAGGGACTTATCATGCAAAATGCACTTTTTTATGTATTTCATACATAGATATGTGTCCCCGGTGTACTAGGGAACTCACAAAGTGTCAGAAAACAAAACCCACTCTCTTTTCCTCTCTACCCAAATCTCTAAAAACTGGGTTACAACGGAGCTGATCCAGATTTGCGTCCGATATCACTTACTATCGCAAATGTGGATCCACGGCCCTATCAGAAACATTACTATCACAAAAAATGCCCGACTGTTTTGGACGTAATATGGCCTTTGTTTACATTAGCAAACATCGCTAACACTCAGAGCTAAGCTGTACTGAGAGAGTATGGGTAAAAAAGCAGGAAATAAAAAAAGGAACTCACCTTGTAAACCCGCAAGAGAAAATGCATTTGAACTCCATACTGTTTCGTAAATAATCCTTGAAGTGGTTTGGAACGTGATATGGCGTTTAATCACGGCAGCATTTAGCTTTATCTCCGGTAGAATTAACTTTTTTTTGCTTTTCCACCAGGGGTAGTTCCGGCTCAGGGCTACTTTTTCACCTTTTTTCTGGCCCTCCAAAATTGAGGTTCTTACCGGGCCAACAACTGGGCTGATATGCTAAACTAGTGACGTAAACACTCTCGACTGCTGAATGGTCAGAGAGAATCGCTGGCAAGGGGGTTACAACTACAACAAAATTAACATATTTTACCGTGATTTAATTGTAATACACGTTTCAAAATGATGCCAAAGTAACTACATACTGATGCCAGTTAGTAAAAACCATCAATTAATGCTTTGACAAGCCTGCAGACAACACGGCAGGCGAAAAACCTTTTAAAATGCGTGTTTTCTGAATGGAGATTGGATCGATCAGGCTAAGCTAACGTTATATATGCTCCGTCCGCACTCACAACAACGGCCTACAGACATAAATAAACCAGCGACTGTATTCGCCATGACACAGACAGTCTGTGGTTTGTACTTGTTTAACTTTTGCTAGTTTCTGAACAGATATGAGGAGCTTTGAGCTCTGAGTGCTAACAGCTAACGGCTGATGTTGGTGTTGTGTTTCGCATCGAAGATGAAGTCACGGCTCCGCCTACACTGCGTGACTATAGTTACTACCCCAGTTCCTAAACTGTAATGGAAACGCAGCATAAAGTGAGCCTGGCCTACCAAGGCCTAACTATACCGTACAAAGCCGTGCGAGGCCCTGCAGTGGAAATGCGCCATTACAGAGGATGAATGTGGTACTGTAAAACCATACATACATACGGAACTGACATATGTGTTTGAACCAGAAGTTGGAAAAGGGGCAGGACTACATAAGGTAAATATCAACAGCATTAGTGCTCTCAAGCAGTGAGCTGCTCTAAATAATCAAATGTTACTTATAAACAGCTTTGAAACAGGACTCTGAAATTACAGAAGGGTCCAGCTTCTGCCGCTTGGAGTGACTATTTACGAAGGCAACCTAAATAGATGTCCGGCTGCAGCATAATCCCCCATTATGTAAATGCAGACAAAGGATGGAAGTGAACTGACCTGTCCAAAGCCCAGAGGGTGCTGATGCTGGTGCCCACTCATGTTTTTCTGCCGGGAAAGGAGGGGGGCGGATGGGAGAAGGGTGTAAGAGGAGGGAGTGCTCTGTCCTATGAGGCTGCAGCGCCCTTTGGAGCGGGACCAGGACTCTGAGGACGGAACAGAGAGAAGACGGAAGTGAGTAAGGCAAGTATACTTATACAAAAGAAAAAGTTGGCAGGTTTAGTCCACATGGCCTGCAAGTTGAAATAAAAACTAAAACAAACACAAGCATGCACAAGAGAGAGAAAGTAGAGTTAGATGATTGTGTTCAATATAGATCATTTTAATGGTTTTATTTCAAAGTACAGAGGGACACATTTTTTTTAAATCACACTATTTATATTGAATATATATTTAAATGAGAAAAATGTTGCTAAATAATCAATCCCCCAATATTGTGCATAATGTGTAAAAAAATAAATAAAAAAAATCCAATAAGTTATTTATTCTAAATGATGCAGCCCTATTAGCATACATTACAATAACTGATCAAGATGCCTCTCAAGCTACATTAATAATATAAACATGAAATTGTTAAATCAACATTGCATTTGTAATAGTGAGTTGTAGTTGCTTTAAATATAGTACATATTTGAGGATTGTGTCCTCAGAGTAGCTTTTCAAGGCAGACAAAAGCCGAACAGACTAGCATAGATGTGAGCGGCCCTCCCAAAAATCTCAGCTACACAAAAGTAATTAGCACGGGAGAAATACAATTATGAATTTGAAAATGTGTTCTCCTGAGTGCTGATGGAGGACAATAAATGTAGCAGCACCAATCTGCAGCTAAATTGAACATTTCTGAGGGGGCTGGGCAATGCAGGGCAAAAAGATGATCACAAACAGAATTTGCATTCCACAAAAAAGCAGGCAAAACTGAATTGACCGCAAAATGTGGAGATTAGTCAATCTAGCTAATCTTCACATAATGCTCTCACACGGCCGAAAAAAACCCTGTTCCTTTTTAATCATAGGATCACTGGAGATGCTAAGAATTAGTAGTTGAATTCTTAACATCTGCCAAACATTACGTTAGCTTTACTGATGAAGAATAACATCTCCATCACTCTTGTTTAAGGATTCATCCATATTCAAACTTTAGTTATAATATGACAGTTTACATAAGGTGGTTGGATCAGAAGTTAAAGGCAAGGGCAACAATAATTTGAGCTAATTCATTTATTTAAAAAGGACATTTTCAAGCATTAGATTTTATACATACTTATTATAATCTCCTTTTTTCTTTTTTTTTTTACTTATAACTGAATTTAAAGAAGACACACTAAGCAAATTTTCCGGTTCATATTTGCACTGTTGTCCTCCTGTGACATGTCTCCATGCTTTAATGTTCAAAAATCTCTTTATTTTTCTCATACTGTCTGTGCTGCAGCACCTCTTTTCACCCTCTGTCTGAAACCAGAGCCCAGTCTGCTCTGATTGGTTAGCTGGCTGGCTCTGATGTGATTGGTCAACTGCTTAGATATGTGTCGGGATTGGGAATGTTCGCCCCTTCAAGTACAATATGTTGGAGTGCTAGCTGATAAAAGCTTGAGTGTTACGTAGTGACGTCACCATGAGTAGTATGTTGGAGAGAAACTCCCTCTGGAGGGAACACAGGGATTTTAGCCTTTGCAGACCAATTACATGCACAAGAACCCTTTATAACGTCTAGACATATTTTGAATTTTTTTGATGGCCAGTCTATGAATCAGTTAAATATGCAGAACCGAGGACAGTTTTAAAACTTCACTTCTGTGCATTCTGTAACCTTCAGTTTGTCTGATATAAGATCTCACTCAAGCTTCCTTCTTCTCCGGTACTGCTCATAGGATTTCCATAACAGCCATAAATACAATATTTTCTGGAGAATGATGGCTAAGCTTATTGGACAACATGTCCCCCCCTACAGGAAACCCTCCCCGCCCAGCATCTTCAGTGCCAGGCTGCTTCACCCGCAGTGTCTCAAGGAGAGATACCCCACAAATACAGACAGCTACAATCTTGTGCATAATACCTGCAATGTGCAATATAAACACTTTCTTCCAATCTTCTGTGAAATAATCACTGTTCTGTGAAAAAAATACATTTTTATAATATCTCAACACCTTTATATGTTCACTAAGCTTAGAAATGCTGCTACTTACCAGGGTGACTGTCAATTCTGCTGCTATTAAATAATCCTCAAACATGTCTTCTACTGCTAAATAGAGAATATTCCCATTCAACACAGTATCATAGATTTAGACAAAATATCATAAACAAAGAAAAAGGAACAGAGATTTTTGGCACTCAGAAATGTCCCCAAGGGGGCAAAGCTGACTTTACTGTATCAGTTTTAAATTCACTTTACCGTTTATTAAGGAAAACGACATCTTGGGAAATTAAAAAGGTGAAACTGATGTTGGATCAGTGCCTTAGGGAACCAGCAGAGAAATGGCTCTGACGCAACACCAAATTAAATGCATCCATCTTTCCCTCCACTCCGAGGAGCCAACCGGAAATGTGTTTGCTGTCGTCTCTTTAAAATAAACGTCCTCTCTTCTTCTACTGTGTACAATTCTGCATCACTGATTTAGTAAAAGCATGCAGGTGTTGTCAGAAGGAAGGGGTTTGTTTGAAATACTGAAGCTGGAAGAAGATCCCAAATGATTTAACACAAAGCTGTAAATCCTAATCAGCCCAGCTGAGGAGATCCTTTATAATTTAACAAAACATGCTTGCGATTTTTAGTTCACTTGAATGCACACTAGTTGTAGACACAATTCAAATGATCATTAATGTACACATATTTAAAAGACACTGTCTAGAACTTCATCATACTTGTCTAAAAATATTCCTCCTTATTCCCTAGAAACTTTCTTAGAATAAAACTACTACTTTGATGGAGGGAAAGTCCTAAAAAGGGCATCTCAGGCGATTTTAGCACGGCCTGCTCTGGATGCATTTTTGAGGTTTTGGTAACGTGGCCAGTTCTCTGTTGGTGTCTCTTGATCACCTGTTAAAGCCTCTATGACCCACTAGGGGGCGGTATGCCCCCACTGCTTCCATATGACCTGTGGAGCAGACACCACCAAAGTGCAGGTAACAGCAGGCATGATGAGGAAACATTTTTGTTATGGGTGTTAGTAGTACACAGAAAAACATTTCAATGAGAGCATTTCTCTTAGCTTAGAAAGAAAAACGAGTTTAATAATAGAAAACACACCTACATGTAATATCATCATAAGAAGTCATACAGTCCATAATTACAAAGAGGAATATTTGCTTCCTGTTTCTGACCTGTTCTCTGTGTGCGCTCCTCTGTCCCGTGACTGTTGTTGTTCTGCACTCTCATTGGTGGAACCACCATGGTCCTGACGCCGCGGGGGCTCCTGCACTGCACTGCAGGGGAAGGCAGTGGTGCGACCATGGCAGCCAAAGATGGGCGGTTGTTGTGGTTACTGTTGTCTAGGTAACGGTAGGGACTGTTGCCACGTGGGGATGTCAACGTGTCTGACGTGGGGGAGCCCTCCACCGTGTCGCAGCCGCTCTCATGGCCGTCATCCTCGGACATGCTGAACACAGAGGAGAAGTCATGTTAACGAGACTGGAAATAAAGAGTGTGTTTGGAGAACAATATGAGGACACACTACCTGTTGGGTCTCTTGCAGGGGGAGATGGAGGGGCTGGACTGCAGGGAGTTGGAGGCGAAGGAGCTGGTGCTGAGGCTGCTGTCGGGGCTGCTGAGGGAACACACTCTCTCCATAGACACACTGGTGTTTCTGCATGCCTCACACACACACTCCTCTTTGCACCTACGGAGAACAACACATTGGTTAGAGTTATTTAAGCTCAGTAAAGTACAATTAATATAAACAAACATTCAGCTACTGAGATCTATAGATATTATAACTTTTGAAGAGGGCTGTAAAATGATTTCCTTTTCCTTTGAAGCCTTTTTTTTTAGTTTCTCCGAATTAAGTTTTGGATGTCTGCCGTAATATTTTATGAGAATAACCCAAAAAGAATTCTGAATGGGAATAAAGCGATTTAGATTAATTTTTGTATTAAATCCTTTTGAATGAATAGACCTGTCATCTTTAATAACTTAAATACATGTAGGCATTAGGGAAATCGCCTAAAGGCATCAAATATGATGAAATAATAATTGCACCCTTGGGCCTATATCAAAATTGTGCCAAAACAGAAAAGGCAATACTTTAAAATAAAAACATTTCACATTTAAGCATTTTTTCTCCTCCTTTTTTGCAAAAGCTTTGTCACAAACTAGCCTCGTGCAGCCTGATAAATGTGAATGTTCAACCTGATCTAGGAAAAATCAACCCTAAAAGATTGTTTCTATTGTAGCAATATAATTGTAGTTTATGGTGCAGTTAGAGCGCTGCTAGATTGTCCTAGCAATACAGGTATGTGCTTCCCTTTTTGTACAACAAGCAGAAGTGTGATTTATTTTCATGTCTGAACTTTAACGCTCTACAGTCGTTATCACACATCAAACATGTTGGAAGATTAAGATCACTGGTTGATTTTGTTCATCCCATGTCCATTGCATGTAATGTTACTCACCCCCTCAGACGGCACCTCCGAGGCTCTTCGTCCTCCTCTTCCTCCCCGTCAGTCAGGTCACTGCGGATGCTGATCACACTGGCAGCAGGGCTCGGTGTGTCCCCCATCAGAACGGCCACGTGGCGCTGCGGTTGATTGGACCGGTCCTGCTGGCTGTTCCCATTCGGCGCCGCCTCTTTGAAGCAGCTCACTTCCTCCTCTGCACCATTTTCATCTGCGTTAGGGACTACGGGTTGCACCGGCGGCAGCTCCCTCTTAGGCTGCTCTCTGGGGGCCACTGTATGTCCAACAACACTGGCCATCTTGGGGGTCCGACATACTGATGTATGGATGTTTCTGGGGTGGGACAGGTTCCTTTAAAACAGAACAGTTGATGTATTAGACATCCATAAAACATTAAAGCAGATTCATTTCCACAAGGCGCACATCTCACCTGTTGTGACTATGTCTGTTCCTCTTATTGGCTTGCTGCGGCCACACAACGTGAGCTATGCCAATGTTGATTGGCTGATGGGCAGAGAGTGCTTGCATCTGATTGGTCAGGAGAGGCTGTTGAATCACTGAAGTGTAATGGTTGCTGTGGGGGGAAAAAAATGTATGTTAAAAAAAAGGTACCAAAAAAGTGCAAGAGGAAGATAATGCAGCCCTATTATACTTTGGCTAAAAATAAGCAACAGTAATAGAAAATATACTGTGCTTTGATGAAAGCAAATAGAACCGTCTCAATTTATAACAAGTATTTGAAATAAAATAAAAACCCAGCTTTTTATGAAATGTCTCTCCTGGTTAAGCATTAGAGCTGTGCATCTTCACTGTTCTCACGATTCCATTACGATTATCCTGTCAACGATTCGGTCAGAAATTAATAACATAAATGTCTTGACATTAAATTACAAGCTAAAATAAATCAAGGCCTAGCCTCCCTATATCTGTGTGTGAAATTGTTCCATCCTCAAAAACAAAAAACTAATGCTTCTGCAGTCTAGCTGCAGCTTAGGTCTTCTGTTAAAAAAAGGACACTGAAGGTCCGGAATGTGGCATCACAAACATGACTTGAGTCTGAACAAAGCAGACAACAGGAGTATTTACAGCAGCATATAAAAACTAAAATAGTGCATGTGGGTGCACACTTACATTCTCTGTCTTACTGTTATATAAATCCCATTAATGTATGAGATTAAGTTAGCTTTATCATATCTTGATCAGAGATCAACATTTGTTTAAGTGAGTAATAAAGTTTCTATCAGGTCACTATCAGCCTGTCATTCATTATTATTATTATTAGGGAGGGGGCGGGGTTTGGAGGAACAGAGAGGAGACGGTGATCACGGAAGCTTTCCTCCTGCCTTCACAATCTTTACACAAGTATTTATCGTCTGAAAATAGCAAGAGGACATTCAGGCCCCGGCCCCACGAGGACGCATACGGCTAAACGCATAGGATTAACGCAAACGCAAAAAAGCTTCCGTCCACACGCAATATTCACCGGATAGTGTCTGTCCACACGAGACAGCTCCAACCGATCATTACTCGAAGTGTATAGTTTGGACGTGGGTGACGCTCCGGAGGTGAGCGTCGGGAGCGTGGTTGTCAATGAAGGCGACGCGCGTGCGACGTGCGTGGGGGTTATGGACTGACTAAGCGTAGGGACACGTCTGACACGCTTTCGACTTTTTACCTAGTACTTCTAGTAGGTCCACAAACAAACGTTGAAGTTCGATCCGCCCTAGACCCCTACAAAATAACTTCGAAGCGGCTCCGAAAGTTGACTGAATGGAAGCTTATGTGACATAGGCGTGCGGCGGCGAGCGGTCGCGTCGCGACGACGGATAAACGAAGTCAGACACAGACGCAAGAAAGCCGTGGACGGACATTAGACTCTTCCAGGGCGGAGACGACCGACCGAGAGGCGGGCCTTTAGAAGTCGACAACTAACTGTGAAGTCATTATCGGATAAGTCTATCGCGACTACCCCCGCCCTGTAATAACGAGGCGCATTCTCTGGCGATATACTCAGATCCGACGCCGGGCGCCCTCGTCATGTGTTGTGTTGTGATGATGTGCTGTGATGTGCTGTGCAAGTACCAATGCACAAGTCATGAGTACTCAAAGAGAATGGGTGGTCGTCACCTACGGTGGTTGATTGTTGGCCTGGGTATAGCGGAATGACGGTCGGGTGCCTCGACTTACTTACCTCTATGAACGTGTACTAAAAACGAAGACATTACAGTAGTAAACATTTAGTAATATAGTACGTACCGACATACTACATTGTAGAGCAGTTGACAGCGAAATTAGCCATCACTGGAAGGAGTCGGTGGCATCACTAGCAAGTCCACCGCACAGCACATCACAACACAATGACAGGCGTCCGGAGCGTCGATCTGGGAAGAGCCTTCACCTACTGAACGTACGGTCTCTATTGCACGGGCGTAAGTCTCGTTCAAAATTAGCCGTTAAACTATTTTGTTTCCTGCATGGCTATTAGCCCAGTTTACGCCTTATAGCCGAGCTGGGATCATTACTCTCAGGCGGCCGGGGTGTCTCCTGCTTTTGCAGCAAACGCCAATGACAAAATCACAGTATATCTTTGGCAGAACCAGCCAAGGTGTGCTCCTGCTGTCCTGACTTTACTGCATTGGTTTGACGCCTTTGTATTGCCCAGGGTTCCACCTATCTTGCCCGGTATCGCGTTGCGAGACCCCCCAGGTTGCGAGGCACCACACGCGAGGATATGCGTATTAAAAGACTATTACTACTGCGTTATAGGACGGAGAGGGGTGGAGACGACGAGTGGGGGCGCAGTTTCATTGGACGTGCTGACTTAAGTCTAATAAATTAGAAAGAAGCTATTACCTGTCATTTGCGCTCACTTAGATTAGACTGTCCTGCCTCTGTCGCGTCGAGACGAGGTGGACGTCGAGGAGGGGCGAACACTACGTCCGCCACTTGCCGCGTTTTGTGTGTGGAAGTTCGAGTTCTAGTAGTGGAAATCGATAAAAATAATGGAGAGTTGATGGATTTGATCAATATTTATACAAATAAAAATGACAGGTCCGCAGTCTGAGTACATGAGCCGAGTCGACGACGTACTCTGTCTGTGACTGCGACAGGCTGGTCTCTCACCTGCCTTTTCTCTCCGAGGCACATAAAATAATAAATATCTAAGCAAATAAGTTAAACAAACATTTCGAGTTATTTATTGTTTCTTCTGCGGAAACTGCCGTGAGAAATATAAAACCAGGCCTTCTAATTTTTGAAATTGTTTGCAACTGACCCGCTTTTGAGACGGGCCAAGGTGGTGAGCCGGGAGTGCGCGCCTCTATTTGTCTTCCCGTTGGTACTGTTGGTACGAAGAAGCCGACGAAACACCTCGCTTCAATGTCGCGCGGTGCATGTTCCGGAGCCGTATACATTGACGCGAGAGCGTCGGCCAACCTNAGGTGTCTTTTAATAAGCAGGTAGTCCTATCATTAGCTAGAACTAGCTGGATCTGATCGATATGGACATAAACGCGAGTGAAGCCTAATCTGAAGGGAGAGAGAGATCAGCTGCTGCTGACGAGTCGACACGCAGCTCTGCATGATCACATGCAGCGGTGAGCGGACAAAACACACACTTCACGTTTGAATATCACTCGTAGCTATTTTAATTATCTCAAACTAAATCACTAAACTAGTTATAGGTATGTTTATTTTTACTGTCGGGTCACTCATTACTGGATCCGCGAGCTGCATAATACTGGCATAATAGATTGCCCGATCGGGCAACCAGCAGGTGAGGCTTCATTGCCCGAGCTAAATACTAGATGGCCCCGGGCCATCGGGCAGTCCTTAATGTCGAGCCCTGAAACTAGAGACACGTTGAGACAAGACCGAAAACCATGGGCTTTTTTACCTTGAAGATGTGCTAGAGCAGGGGTCTCCAACCTTTCTTCATCTGAGAGCCATAATAAATCAATTGAATAGGTCTAGCCTCCCTATATCTGTGTGGGAAATTGTTCCATCCTCAAAAACAAAAAACTAATACTTCTGCAGTCTAGCTGCAGCTTAGGTCTTCTATTAAAAAGAGGACACTGAAGGTCCTGAATGTGGCCTCACTAACATGACTTGAGTCTGAACACAGCAGGCAACAGGAGTATTTACAACAGCCTATCAAAACTAAAATACTGAATGTGGGTGCACACTTATTCTGTCTTACTGTTACATAAATCCCAAGAATGTATGAGATTAGCTTCATCATATCTCAACCAGTGATTAAGTGAATAATAAAGTTTCTATCAGGTTACTATCAGCCTGTCACTCATTATTTTCAGGGAGGGGGCAGGGTTTGGAGGAACAGAGAGGAGACAGTGATCGCAGAAGCTTTTTTCCTCCTGCCTTCACAAACTTTACACAAGTATTTATCAACTGAAAATAGCAAGAGGACATGCGTACTCTGTAATCCAAGACTTGATTACATCAACCAAAAACCTGACATGGTGCTAACGCGAGTATTTTTTAAAACATAAATCCATTTGTGTCTGAGCCACAGCGACACGGACTGATTCAGGTGCATTTATTGTCGTCGGATTCTTTCTACAGTCTGTGAACCGCGAGCTGCGAGCTACTGAAAAGCTTCCCGCTCGTGATCAACGTGTTGGAGAGCCCTGTGCTAGAGCTTTAAAACGGCGGGGCCCAGCCCAGGAATCCGTTCGCATACAATGCTTTCTGATGAAGTCGACCAGAGAAATGTTACTCTAGCTACAAGGTAAACCTCAGGGCTGTTTATTTCTGAAACACCTGTATAGTGACATTTGACACAACAAGAAAGACAGGTTTACACATTCAGGTCTTGATATAGTGATGAAGTTTTTGTTATTTTCCCAGTTTAAATGTGTCCAACAGCAAGCAACTAATAAATACATAAAACTAGATTAATTACTATGCTCAATTTGACAAGGAATGCTTGACAAGTCTACTGATTTAATAAACATGAATGAATGATAAACTCCCACTGTATCAAACAGAGTACCTTTCCAAACCAATACTGGCTCAGTGTAATATGAACACATCTCACACACAAGGTAAGTCATGCACCACCTGAAAGAAACACACCAAAAAACCATGCAATAACATACCACTCTGTTCTTCTACACACTTCATTCTCATTAGGACCACAGCAGCCAAGTCACAACTGTGCACGCACGTGCACACTTTCTTCAAACTAATGAAAGCCTCTCTGCTCAGCGTACTCTCCGTGTAGCTCAGAACTCATTGTGGAGGCAGAGCAGCTCCTCTTATCTCTTATTTAAGGCTGCTGTGCACCTCCTTCACTCATTTCTTTCCTTCTGGCTTTAACATGCGTCCATGTTCATGTGTGTACACAAGGTTTTTATGTCTTTTAACATCATTTCAATCACATTCACTAGGCTAAGACACTGTAGACCATTACCCAACTATTCATAAAAACAGGTCTTTTGGAAAAATATGGACCAGAAGAAGGCCATTTGGATGTTTTTTATATCTTTTTAAAGGGTCCCATAACACCAAACCACTACATTTTCTAACTGAGGATCGGCGAGTCTAGCAGGTAATG